TAAATTTTTCCTCACACTTGTAACCCTAAATATAGTGACGTATTTTCTTTTGTCCCTTTCTGCGACACGCTATGGCGGAGTCTATAGGATTCTCTGTCTACGGATATATCATTGATTGCCAATCGCCATTCCATAGATTGTATCCTCTTAGTAGTCTGTGCATCGTAGACAGAGAGAGAGTAGATTCTCTGTCTACGCTTGGCGCCTAGCTGTGCATAGATTACTGCGCCATTTGTTCGCCACCATTTTGTGTGTATGTCAACTCAATTCGTTAGCTGGTGTAAATCGTGTCTTGCTCTTGTGAAAAAAACTAGTACTTGTAAATCATTTAAAATTTTCCATTAATTGAAATATTAGTTTTCATCGTCGAATAAATTGTCATAATGTACGATACCGAGGACGACCAATTTGAGGAGGAAGACAATGAAGAAATTTCTTCGGAACTATGGCAAGAAGCTTGTTGGATTGTAATAAATGCTTATTTTGACGAAAAAGGCTTAGTGCGACAGCAGTTAGATAGTTTTGACGAGTTTATACAGATGTCTGTACAGCGCATCGTAGAAGATTCTCCGCCTATAGAACTACAAGCTGAAGCTCAACACGCTTCAGGCGAAATTGAGACTCCTCCGAAATACTTATTAAAATTCGATCAAATATATCTTTCTAAACCTACGCATTGGGAAAAAGATGGTGCACCATCTCCTATGATGCCTAACGAAGCTCGACTTCGCAACTTAACTTATTCTGCTCCTTTATATGTAGATATCACGAAAACTATAGTGAAGGAACATGAAGATCCAATAGAAACACAACATCAAAAAACATTCATAGGAAAAATTCCTATTATGCTTAGATCTACATATTGTCTTTTAAGTAACTTAACTGACAGAGATTTAACAGAGCTGAATGAGTGCCCTTTAGATCCTGGTGGCTATTTTATTATCAATGGTTCTGAAAAGGTTTTGATAGCTCAAGAAAAGATGGCAACAAATACAGTTTATGTATTTAGTATGAAAGATGGGAAATATGCATATAAAACAGAAATTAGATCCTGTCTTGAACACAGCTCTAGGCCTACATCTACATTATGGGTTAATATGATGGCTCGAGGTGGTCAAAGCATTAAAAAGTCAGCTATTGGTCAAAGAATTATTGCTATAGTTCCATACATTAAACAAGAAATACCAATTATGATAGTTTTCAGAGCTTTGGGGTTTGTTGCAGATAGAGATATATTGGAACACATTATTTACGATTTTGATGATCCAGAAATGATGGAAATGGTAAAGCCATCTCTAGATGAAGCCTTTGTAATTCAAGAACAAAATGTAGCTCTTAATTTTATTGGTGCTAGAGGAGCACGCCCAGGAGTAACAAAAGAAAGGCGTATCAAATATGCTCGTGAAATTTTACAGAAAGAAATGCTTCCTCATGTTGGTGTCTCTGACTTTTGTGAAACTAAAAAGGCTTATTTTCTTGGATACATGGTTCACAGATTACTACTAGCTGCCTTAGGGCGCCGTGAATTGGACGACAGAGACCACTATGGAAACAAAAGGTTGGATCTAGCTGGACCTTTGTTAGCATTTTTATTCAGGGGATTGTTTAAGAATTTATTAAAAGAAGTAAGAATGTATGCACAAAAATTTATTGACAGGGGAAAAGATTTTAATTTGGAATTAGCTATTAAAACAAAGATTATCACTGATGGTCTTCGTTACTCCCTTGCAACAGGTAACTGGGGAGATCAGAAGAAAGCCCATCAGGCTAGAGCTGGAGTTTCACAAGTATTAAATAGATTAACATTTGCTTCTACATTGTCACATTTGCGACGAGTTAACTCTCCAATAGGTAGAGATGGCAAATTAGCAAAGCCTCGTCAGTTACATAACACACTGTGGGGTATGATCTGTCCTGCTGAAACACCAGAAGGTGCTGCTGTAGGTCTTGTGAAAAACTTGGCATTAATGGCCTATATTTCTGTTGGAAGTCAACCATCTCCAATTTTGGAGTTTTTAGAAGAATGGTCCATGGAAAATTTAGAAGAAATTGCTCCTTCAGCTATTGCAGATGCAACAAAAATATTTGTTAATGGTTGCTGGGTTGGTATTCATAGAGATCCAGAGCAATTAATGGCTACTTTAAGAAAACTAAGACGTCAGATGGATATTATAGTATCTGAAGTCAGCATGATTCGTGATATTAGAGATCGTGAAATAAGAATTTACACAGATGCTGGAAGAATTTGCCGTCCTTTACTAATAGTAGAAAATGGAGCACTATTGTTAAAGAAAAAACACATTGATCACCTCAAAGAGAGGGACTATAATAATTATGGTTGGCAAAATTTAGTAGCAAGTGGTGTGGTTGAATATATTGATACATTGGAAGAAGAAACAGTTATGATTGCTATGAGCCCCGATGATCTAGCACAAGTGAAGGAATATGCATATTGTACAACATATACTCATTGTGAAATCCATCCAGCTATGATATTGGGTGTCTGTGCTTCTATCATTCCATTTCCTGATCACAACCAAAGTCCAAGAAATACTTATCAAAGTGCTATGGGTAAACAAGCCATGGGCGTCTATATTACTAACTTCCATGTAAGAATGGACACTCTAGCTCATGTTTTGTACTATCCTCATAAACCACTGGTTACCACACGTTCTATGGAATATTTACGTTTTAGAGAATTGCCCGCAGGAATTAATTCAATTGTTGCTATCTTATGTTACACTGGATATAACCAGGAGGATAGTGTCATTTTAAATGCATCTGCTGTGGAGAGAGGATTCTTTAGATCTGTATTTTATCGCTCTTACAAAGATTCTGAATCTAAAAGGATTGGTGACCAAGAGGAACAATTCGAAAAACCAACAAGACAGACATGTCAAGGCATGAGGAATGCTTTATATGATAAACTGGATGACGATGGCATCATTGCCCCAGGGATTCGTGTTTCTGGTGATGATGTAGTAATTGGCAAAACAATCACTCTGCCTGAAAATGATGATGAGTTGGAAGGCACAACAAAGCGCTTCACTAAACGAGATGCATCAACATTTTTGCGTAACAGTGAAACTGGAATTGTTGATCAAGTTATGCTCACTCTGAACAGTGAGGGTTATAAGTTTTGTAAAATTCGGGTACGATCAGTTCGTATCCCACAAATAGGAGATAAATTTGCCTCCCGCCATGGGCAAAAAGGTACTTGTGGAATTCAATACAGACAAGAAGATATGCCTTTCACTTGTGAGGGCATCACGCCTGATATCATTATTAATCCACATGCTATCCCATCTCGTATGACAATTGGTCACTTAATCGAATGCATCCAAGGTAAAGTATCTTCAAATAAGGGAGAAATTGGTGATGCAACACCCTTTAATGATGCTGTAAATGTGCAAAAAATATCATCATTGCTACAAGAATATGGATATCATCTACGTGGTAATGAAGTTATGTATAATGGACACACAGGGCGTAAAATTAATGCCCAAGTTTTCTTAGGACCCACCTACTACCAACGTCTGAAGCATATGGTAGATGACAAAATCCATTCCCGAGCTAGAGGTCCTGTACAAATTTTGGTGCGACAGCCTATGGAAGGAAGGGCTCGTGATGGAGGTTTACGTTTTGGAGAGATGGAACGTGATTGTCAAATTGCTCATGGTGCAGCTCAGTTTCTTAGAGAGCGCTTATTTGAAGTATCTGATCCCTACCGCATACATGTTTGCAACTTCTGTGGTTTGATAGCTATTGCAAATTTGCGTAATAACACTTTTGAATGTAAAGGCTGCAAAAATAAGACTCAAATCTCCCAAGTGAGATTACCCTATGCAGCTAAATTACTTTTCCAGGAACTTATGTCCATGAATATTGCACCAAGATTGATGGTTGTAAGCTAAACATTTTATGAAGTGTATTAATATGAATACTAATAAGAATGATAAATAAAATTCGTAAATACATTTATCATGATTTTTATTATCACAAACCGACAACATTAAATGCAGCTTATTACAACAGTTACAATACAAAATTGTACAATAAACTTCATACCTACTTAATTAATTTATAACATATTTTCTATATAAATTGTAGAAATAACTGAGTTGAGGTTAACAGATTAAATTAAAAAAAGCTATAGAATATTTTCTGTAATTAACACAATTAAACATGAATAAACTATATTTGAAATTTAATATGTATTATTACAATGATTTTGATTTCACAGCTTAAGATTTTATAACATACATTGAAGTTTAACTTTACACAACATTAATATAGTTTAAATCTTAATGAAGTAAATTACAAGCAGTCGTGTAGATAATGTAAGTAATTGGAATTCTATATAGTATATTCAACCATAATAACCAGCAAAATGTCTATGATTGGTCTTGTTTTTACTGCTTGTAATTTATTTTTACTACATACTAAAACCAATAAATAAATAAATGACTCAAGCATATTAAATATAGTGATTTATTATTTAAAAATGCAACTTAACCCAGTCCACAAGTTTCTAAAACTTGCTTAGAAAAATAATGTAATTTTAATTTAAAATTACATAAGAGAGCTTGTAAAAGGCTGTCAAAGAAATAAAAGATCTGAAAAGAAGGGAAAATTTAAAAACATTAAGTGCATAGTTTGAAAGTGCAAGTAAGCAAAAGTAAATATTATGCAAGCATTTTTGTCTTGTCCGTTTAATTTATTCGTAAGTTACATTTGAAATTTAAAATCTAAATCTTGCGGAAGAGGCTGAGATCTTACAAGCGCCGCTATTACTCTTATGTAATATAACTATTCTATACTGTACAACTTACGTACCTATAAATTCAAACCAAAACATGTAAGTGATATTTTATAAATTTGTAATATTACATTATCCATTTCTTTGTCATCTTTTCAATATTGGATGGCAGCAAACTGGTTTTATAAAAAGCCAATTGATATTTATTTCATCTAACGAGTCCAGTCTAGTTTTCTAAAACTTAGGGAGGCGCGGGAAGCGCTCTTTGTTCCTCCGGTTCTTCTTCTTTAGGTCTGCTCCATTTTATCATAGTTTCAGGCGAGCGGTACAGGAACACTAGTTTTGCGAACAAATCTTCTTCAAGCGCCAATTCAAGTGCCTCGCGTACCTGTGTTCGATATAGATTAAATGTGAACGTTCACGAAAAAATAAATTTTCAACATAAGAAATTGAAATGTTAATATCAGTTTTGTACATGGATTTGTTCAGTTCACGGTAGGCGACCTGTCATAAATGCGGTGATTAAGCCGACATCTAGTTACCAGAAGAAGATATAATTTTGCTAGACGTCTTTTCCGATACGATGTCATGGTCTCGCAATGCAACGCATACGAGTAATGATTTATATATTGCGTACTAGGTATACTTTTGTTTTATAAAATGACAACTCCATTATTGACATTACTCAAATATTATAGACCAATCATTGGAATGAAAAATAAAGCTTCAGTTCCAAGTCAAAAATTCGGGTACAAACTAAGCTGTCATAGACTTTGATGATAGAATCAAGCGTTACTTTGCGGAAATCCGTTATAATAAAAATATTAATTAATTTGCAACCTTCCGCTGACTAAATATCATCAGCTGAGCTAAGTCGCCGCTCATTTAGCGGTCAGCCGCCGTTGAGTCTACATCACCTGAGGATGCCTCGTGTAGAGGCGAAACACGTGTCGTATTATCGTCGATGGTGTGTCTTTCCTGGAATAGTGATGTTGGAAGTAGTGGTGCCGGCAGTAGTGGTGTTGGGAGTAGTGGTGCTGGGACTAGTGGTGACGGAAATAGAGACGGATAGCACGCAAATGAGAGGGGGCGGGAGGTGCTCTTCAATCCAGGTAAGACACATCATTGTATTTAGTTAGCGGAAGGTTGCAAATTAATTAATATTTTTACTATAGACTTCAACAAATTTGGGTATTAGGGCGTTATACCTAAATAGATATGGGTGGTATATGGACGTACCAAGTAGATATCGAGACAGAGTTGAAGCACGCGGTCAACATTGGGGAGGTCGTCGAACATGATCTTGGTGTAGATGCCGGAGAAGAAGTTGCGCAGAAGACGAGACGCCAAGAACACGAACGTTGTATACAACCCGATGATGCTGTTCAAACATAAACTTATCTTAGGCCGATATTCAGACAAAATATCAAGTTTTAACTCAAATTTGTGTAAACAGTAAAGCCTACTCAAATGTTGATATTGTAGAGTAGGTTAAAACTCAAGATTGTCTCGGAATATCTAGACGAGCAAACAATTCGTCGCCGACGCCGCAAAAGGGGCTCGCGCGCTCGCAAACTGCAATAAAATTTAATTTTCTGATGGAAAAAGCTTGTAATTGGGGAATAATAAAATTTCTTGTCCTCCAGTAATTTCTTAAAAATTGAGGTTCGCCCGTTTGTGGCGTCAGCGACCAATTGTAAAAAAAACAAACAATTCGTTGTGGTATTCATCCAAGCATACGTTCTAGGCCTGGCTAGGACGTATGCTTGGATGAATACTATCGATATAAGCATTACATCGGTCACAGGTCGATCAGGACTAATCACGGACTCTGTAATACCGCATACACGTATGTAAATTCATAGCTAAAAGTGACCTACTTTTGAGCACAGAACTCTCCTTTATGAGAGGACTGTAGACCGAAGCGGCGCACTGCTCCAATGCATGTTATACGGACTTCGCATGTCCTCGAAACAATTTACTCTTCATACTCGTGTACCTATCTGGTGTTATGTGCAAATAACTATATAATTACTATTGAAACGGTAGCGATCACATCATTCCTAAAAGTTTTAGAAGTTATTTTAATTCGTGTAAGTACTCCTTATTATAAGGGGTCTTAATGTATGAAATTGCCATTTTATATTTAAACACCTTTTTATTCAAAAAAATATATATTTATTTATTTGAAGTATCTAACTCCTTTATCTACACATTTCTGCCATATAGAGGAAGGATCATATTATATGAGTTTGCGATGAAACTGGAGGTCAGGACTACAAAGTCTATGATAACATTTTGTATTGCTTCCTAAAAATTTTTTCCTTGCACAAAGCTGTGTTTTCAAATTACGGTAATCGATTGGGGCTAATTCTGCCAAGTACGGAGGAAGTCGCATGGATTCTCAATGCAGGTCTTGTAATGTTTAAATGGTTTGTCGAGCAGTGTGTTTGAGAGTTTCGTCATCATTGTTCGAAGTTGTTCCCAATAGATATCCGCTGTTCTAGATATATTAAATCTCAAAAATCTATAGTGAATTACACCTTGAAATAACCACCAAACAGTTACTTTTCTATGACTGAACTTCGCTTTAAGGCATTTATATGTATTTGACAAAAGTTCAGCCACTGCGATATTAGCTTTCGATTATCGTAGAGAATCCACGTTTCATCACACGTCAACTTTTTTATATTGCTCCATATCTTCCCAAGCCTCATCAATATATTTTCTTTTATACTGATGTAGTTAATGCATTAGAAACCTATTTCTCGAGTTTTCTTATTTCACCTATTTGATATAAATAAGTTAATGTTTTAGTAAACTAATGTCAAACTATGACGCTCATCATTTGGTACTCGTAGTTTGATATGGAGCGGCTTTCTCCGTTACTTCTATCATTATTTAATATCTAGCCGACAGACTACGTAATCTAATGAACCACGATGTCTCGTAGTTAATTAAAGTAAGAATACCAATATGAAAGTAAAATATCCAAAACGAATATTGCCTTTGTAAATCGTATCCACTCCAAACGCAGCATTGATATTCCCTGTCTGTGCTGCGTTAGAACCACGTCGGGTTCGTTTATGGAAAATTAATTTTGAAGTCAAATACTCAAACTCAAATACCGAATGAAAAACAATTGACAGCCAAACAATAAATTGTCAATTATTTTAAAATTAAGAATGTTAAGTTTTAATCACGAATCTTGGACCATGCTGGTTTAATTTTAATTCAAAGTGGCCAATGCTTTAAAAGGGCAACTTTATACTTCATAACCGCTACAAGAGATTCGCCCCTGCTTCGCATGGGCGATTTCTGGATCTCAACAACAGTGCCCCCTACTGCATCCAGTTGCGAATCTAAACTATTCTCGAATCAACTTAATCTCACATAATATTTCATCAAAATCGCTCCAGCCGTTTAGGAGGAGTTCAGCAACACACACACGGACAGAAGAATTATCTTAATATATATAAATTACGTGTCACGTTGTTAGTCCGCGATGGACTCCAAAACTACTCAACCGATTTTAATCAAATTTGCACACCGTGTGCAGTTTGGTCCAACTTGAGAGATAGGATAGTTTTTTTGCCCATGAGCGACCCACAATTTGTTTTTGCGAAGTTAAGGATTTTTAATAGGACATGACAAAGGGTCGTTGAAAAGGGCAGAACAACGTCTGCCTGACAAGCTAGTATATTATATAAAAATTACTATTTAGACTTACCCTCCGGCAGAAATAAAGTTGAGCGTCTCGGGGAACAGTTTATCGTTGAACGTGTACATGACAAGCATGTCGCAGTTGTTCATAGGTATCGACGCTAGTGGGTCCTGTTGAACGTGAAAGTTACGATGTAGTTATTTAAATATATTTCAATTGAGTGATCAGTCCACACACAGCAAACAGATTATGCTGGGTTAAATAATGGCTAATTTTACTGTTGTAAAAATCGATGCTCACACACTAGTAAACATAAATTGCACATGGGTAAACATTCAGAATCGGAACAACTATTTGCAGGTCATGCAAACAGACTCAACTTCGAGCAGTCAAACCAACCAAATTGCAATTCAAATTGATAGAATAATAAAATAAATCCACAAGACCCTAGCATTTCTTTAATCGGCTACAATGATGCTCTTATGTCACTCTGACACTCCATGTAAAAAAATCTAAATACACATTTAATAACATTTGTGGCTTAGCGGATAAGCGTTTCACAAAGACGCGACGCTAAAGCTCGCGGATTTGAATCCTGGTGTCTTTATTATTGTCGATTTGTAATTTATGTAAGTATATTTCTTGTTTGTTGTGGAGGCATTTTACGACAATAAATTCCTAGTGGGTTTAAGGTTTAAAAAAAGGAAATAATGAACGAACTGAATGTGTGAAGTAAGGTACTTGTGTACTTACTCTCGGCTCGCAGGCTTCCCGCACCCGCCAGTACATAGCGCTGCCTTCTCTTTCCAGACGAAGTTGAACATTGCGGTACAGTCGCGCGCTCTCATCTAAAATTGATCACCGTGGTAACTTAGAACATAGGCGCTTAACTCAGACCAACGAATAAAGAAAGGTGCGGAACATTGCATACATTGGAAGTGACGCAAAAACCAAGCCGAAACTATGTTCTACTTATTGTAAGAACACACACTCAAATACATATATGCATCTACCAAAAATCATTTGCAGCCAACAAAATGGTTTTATGTGTGCGTCCGGCAGTGAGCTTTTTGGGCTGATTGAAATAAAAATGTGTCAGTGAGTGTGTGTAGAGAAGTTGAGCCTGGTTTCGGCTCGAAATATTTACTTGAAATGTGCTCCATGAATCTTTCTTTGTCGGTCAGAGAAGTCTACTTAAACTTTCATAGTACGCACTAGTCAGAAAAAGATATCTGTATAAGAGTTATTATCAGGAAGATATTGGTGCCTTTTTAGTGTTTTATTTTCTTCCGTTGCCGCTTACGATACCCACAGCGGTATGGGATAAATAATAAATAGAATAAAAATAAAAAATAAAAATGTTTTATTTTTCAGGCATCGTAGGCCCATAGCGTGTTAGTATTACACAATACAAATAAAACTTAAGAACTAATGTTAGTACACGAAACAATTAATTAAAACACAATAGAAATAAAACAAAATAAAAATAAAAAATTCACAAAATGCATACAAATTTGATAGATTTATCAAGCTCACTTTAGTACATGTAGCTTGACAAACCTACCTAGTGTCGGGCCTTCGAGCCTCTCCGCAAAGACCCTCAGAATACTATTCGAGCTCCCCCTCACTCTGCACATTAATGACTCTTCTTTTTTACGCATGATAGCGAAGTAGTCATCAGTGTGCGCATCGGCGAACATGCCTGATGCACTACAATGAGGTGGAAGCCCCAACAATAACCTGAAGGCATTGTTATATTGAAGATTTCAATTTCATTTCATTCTTTTAAATCCAAATAGATTTTTAATCTAAAAGTATCGAAATGTCAAATGCAATTATTATTATTATTATACATTTTTATATGATTTCTTAAACATAGGTTTACTGAGGTAATAAAATACGGATGTGCCTACATGGCTTTTACCGTGTAGTGGCTCCACTGCCCCCTATCATCCCGCGGGTGTCGTAAGAGGCGACAGAGGGAATCAACTCAGGAGATGGGCAGCAGTGTTTTCCTTATAAAAGCACAAATGAAAAAAAGCTGTGGTTGCCAACCCGCTTGCCAGGCGTGGCAACTATGGCAAATATACCCGTTACGAGGGAAGCCTATGTTCAGAAGTGGACTTTAACAGGCTGACACTCTACGGTATATGGCTTAGTAAACAATAGGGTGCTGTAAACTGCGGTTGCCAGCGGTGGCAACTATGGCAAATATCCCCCCATGAGCAATGACACAAATAAACGGCCCCCAGTCCCCGGCGGCCCCGCTATTCTTGGCTACGGTGGCGACCATGGTAACGGCGGGGCAGGGGTGCTAAGAATCTCCGGTGGAGGTTCGGTTGCCACCTACGACGACTCGACCTGGCAACGTATAACGCTCGCACCCTGAGGACTGACGAGAAGATACTGGAGCTGGAAGAAGAGGTAGACAAGTTGCGCTGGCATATTATTGGATTATCTGAGGTCCGAAGAGAGGGGGAGGACACGGTAATCCTCGAGTCCGGCAACTTGTTCTATCACCGGGAGGGCGACCATCTGTCCCAAGGAGGTGTCGGATTTATCGTCCACAAGTCTCACGTTAACAACGTTGTAAAGATTGGGAGTGTGTCGTCGAGGCTCGCGTACCTGATACTCAGAATCACCAAAAGTTATTCGCTGAAGGTCATACAGGTCTACGCACAAACCTCGGCACATCCTGATGAGGTGGTGGAGGAAATGTAAGAGGATATTTCTAGAGCCATGCATTCCTCCGAAACCCACTACACGGTGTTGATGGGAGACTTCAACGCAAAACTAGGCACAAGAGAACGCGGTGAGCTGAAGTTAGGGAAATTTGGAGTAGGGCAACGGAACCGTAGGGGCCAGCAGCTGGCTGACTTTATGGAGAAAGAAGGACTCTTTATGATGAACTCTTTCTTCCAGAAACGGCCCCACAGGAAGTGGACCTGGTCGAGCCCCGACGGTTCGACAAAAAATGAGATTGACTTCATTATGACGACCAGACGCCAACTGTTCAGTGATGTCTCAGTGATCGCAAGGGTGAAAACCGGCAGCGATCACCGAATGGTTGAAACTGAACACTGAACCTAAACGTTAAGTTGGAGAGGTCTCGTCTAATGAAGTCAACGCTCCGTCCCCCTCGTGCTCTAATCCAGAATCCAGAGACTTTTCAACTCGAGTTACGTAACCGCTTTTAGTGCCTAGAAGATTGCAATGCAGTGGACGATATGAATGACAAGCTCGTGGAAACTGTCCATGCGGTCGGAGCTAAGTTCTGCAAGACCCGCCGCAGAAGAACACAAAAACTCTCCGATTACACTCTTAATCTCATGGCTGTTAGATGAGGCTGCAATCGTCAACAGATTTGACAGCATACAGGCAACTGAACAGACAGATCTCCAAATGCATGCGGCAAGACTTACGCATCTTTAATACTGCTCGTATTAAAGAAGCGATCGATCGGAACCAGGGCTCCAAAGTCTTTGCCAGAGATCTGTCTGCTAGAAAGAGCCAACTGTCAAAGCTGAAGACTGAGTGTGGCAGCATCGTTTCCGGGACACCTGAGATTTTGAGTGAGATTGAGAGGTTCTATGGGCAGCTGTACACATCATCGTTGGAGCCACACGCAAGTGTAACGATACAAGAGCAAGTCTTACCCGACACTATTCCGATGATATCCCGGACGTCAGTCTGAGCGAGATTAGAATGGCTCTCCAGCATCTTAAAAACGGCAGGGCCCCAGGCGAGGATGGAATTATAGCGGAGTTTCTGAAAACGGGTGGAACACGGTACTTGAAGTCCTTCAGAGGCTCTTCAATTCCGTCCTCCATGGTGGCACTACTGCGGAGGCGTGGAGCAGAAGTGCGGTGGTCTTGTTCTTTAAGAAAGGCGACAACGCTCTCTTGAAGAACTACAGACCGATTTCCCTTCTGAGCCGCGTCTACGTGCTGTTTTCGAGAGTCATTACGAATCGTCTCTCACGTAGACTCGACGACTTCCAGCCTCCCGAACAAGCCGGTTTCCGAAAAGGCTTCAGTACCATAGACCACATACATACTCTGCGGCAGATTGTACAGAAGACCGAAGAGTACAATCTGCCACTTTGCCTGGCGTATGTGGACTATGAGAAAGCCTTTGATTCCGTCGAAATTCGGGCGGTGCTACAGTCCCTTCAGCGGTGCCAAGTTGACTGTCGGTATATCGAGGTGCTGAAGTGTTTGTACAGTAGGGCTACGATGGCTATCCGAGTACAGAACCAGAGTTCGAAACCTATCCAACTGCAGAGAGGTGTAAGACAGGGTGACGTTATATCCCCGAAACTCTTCACCGCTGCGTGGGAAGACGTTTTCAAGCTACTGGACTGGAAAGGATACGGTATTAACATCAACGGCGAGTATATCACTCACCTTCGATTTGCCGACGATAGTCCTTATGGCAGAATCGCTGGAGGACCTTAGCACTATGCTCAATGACCTCAATGGTGTCTCCCAACGGATAGGTCTTAAGATGAACATGGACAAAACAAAGATTATGTTCAATGTCCATGTCACATTTATGCCGGTAGTTGTGGGGAGCACTATGCTCGAAGTTGTTGACGAGTACGTTTACCTGGGACAAATAGTCCGACTAGGTAAGTCCAACTTCGACCGAGAGGTCAATCGACGGATTCAACTCGGCTGGGCAGCGTTCGGGAAATTACGACACATCTTCTCGTCAGGTATACCTCAATCTCTGAAAACTAAAGTGTACAACCAGTGCGTGTTGCCAGTGATGACTTACGGATCAGAGACGTGGTCCTTCACTGCTGGCCGTATGAGGACGCTCAAGGTCGCTCAGCGAGCTATGGAGAGGGCTATGCTCGGAGTTTCTCTGTATGATAGACTCAGAAATGAGGATATCCGCAGTAAAACCAGAGTGACCGACATAGCCCAACGGATTAGTAAGCTGAAGTAGCAATGGGCCGGCCATATAGCTCGAAGAACCGATAACCGATGGGGAAGAAAGGTTCTCGAGTGGCAGCCTCGTACCGGTAGGCGTAGTGTAGGGCGACCCCCCACTAGATGGAGTGACGACCTGGTAAGACATGCAGGAAGTCGATGGATGCAGGTGGCTCAGGACCGTGCTTTGTGGCGTTACTTGGGGAGGCCTATGTTCAGCAGTGGACTTGTGAAGGGCTGTAATGATGATGATGATGAAACAATAGGGTATTTTACACCATGTGAAAAAATCAAATATACTTAGTCGGGTCATAAGTTCTGTCAAAACCTTATTATTTAAAATTATTGAATACTGGCTAGGTGAACTTCATCAATTTTAAAAATATAACGTGTGAGCTTGCCGAAAATAAAAAAAATAAAAAAGACATTAATATTCAATCATTTTCAAATATGGGGTGGTCCAAGAAAGAAGATAGAGTATAGCGGTTATCGCGTTGCAACGCTGTGGTCCGAAAATAAATTAAAATAAATTAAAATCACCCGTGAAAAAAAGAGCTCGACTATCGACGGTCGATAAATTAGATGAACTAGATAAATGTGCAATAAGGAGAAAAGTTCACTCAATATATTTAAATAACGACTACCCGACATTGGACAAAATTATGATACTTTGCGAAGCTGACGAAGATATTCCTGTTTTCAAACGTACCACGCTTCATAAAATAATGCACGAGCTTGGTTTCGATTTCAATAAACAGGATAGCAGAACATTGTTAGTCGGAAGAGAAGATATTGTTTTATGGAGGCGTAAATATCTGATGCAAATAAAAGAATACAGAGCAGCTAATAAAACCATTTACTATCTTGACGAAACGTGGGTAAACGCCGGATACGTAAAGACAAAAGAATGGTTGGATAAAAAATAAAAGACAAGCCTTTCTAGATGGCTTATTAGCCGGTCCAAAAGCTCCGACAGGAAAAGGTAAAAGGTTAATTGTATTTCACATTGGCAGCGACAAAGGATTCGTGGAAGATGGTCTACTAGTATTTGAATCTAAGTCTACAAAAGACTATCATGAAGAGATGGATGGTGAAAGATTCCTTAATTGGTTCATTAATATAATGCCTAAGCTAGAACCAGGAAGTGTGGTTGTCTGGATAATCCTCCCTATCATTCACAGCTGGAACAAGCAGCAAATAATAGATTGGCTGCAAAGCAAAGGCAAATTCATGGACATGACTTATTTAAAAAAAGAATTATTAATGAAAGTTGCCGAAATCGCCCCACAATATAATAAATATTTAATATATGACACTGCCAAAAGTAATGGCATTACAATTCTTCGCCTACCGCCTTACCATTGCAAACTTAATCCAATTGAATTGGTTTGGGCCCAAATAAAAAATTATGTTGGTGCCAATAACTCCAAGTTCAAAATGAGTGACATAAAAAATTATTAGATGACGCAATAGCATTAATAGACGCTAATCGTTGGAAGAAGTGCTGCGACCACGTGATACGCGAAGAAAATACCATGTGGAATTTGGATGACATCATGGGACTTGCAGAATTAAATTCTTTCATAATTAATGTAACTGGAGAATCTAGCCATACTGATTAGTGATTTAAGTAATTTTAAGAAAATTTGTTTACATTAAACTTAATTAAATGTTGAAAAAAAAAAATTTTTACTCCACTGTGAATACACCTTTACCCTGTAGTTGCACTGATGACTCACTATTTTCTTAACGCGAACTAAAGTTGGGCGTTATAACATACAACAGATAATATATTTCATTATATATTTGTAATTTTACAACACATTAGAATAATGAACCATTGACTGTTATAATATATTCATTATCGTTAGAAAACGTCATCTGTTTACGTTTACGGTCCAGCCGTCGGCCGAGACGCGGCACCACAATGGGAGTCAATAAAATACTACATTCATTATGCCACAAGGATTGCGTATATAGGATAGCTTACACTAATTTAAACTCTAAGCTAACTTAATAAGAGCTTATTTTACTAACACTAAATTATAACGGTAAACAAAAATATATTATTTCTTTCATTGCTAGCTGTTGCCTGTTGTGCCTGTTATTTAATTTTTTGGCTGTTGTAATATATTAGTGTTCAGTTAGCTGTCTAGCTGAGATGACAATGACACTGTTATTTGTTAAATTATATACGTAATGTTTTGATAGCAGGTCCCCATATTACGTGAAAAAGCTATTGTTATTTTTGTTTATTTTTCGTTAAGTTTTATTCCTAAAGTAATTTTAAATATTTAGTGTAATATAGATAGGATTTAGCGTGTTGTATGTAAAAGTGTATAATAATGTCGCGTCAGCATAGCGCAGCCATTTGGAACTATTTTAAGTCTAAGTCCAAAGTGTGGACGAAAAAAAAGCAGTGTGCAATTAAAAAAACTTTATCTTTTAAAAGTACAATTACAAATTTAAAACTTCACCTTAAGCAAAGACACGTAGGAGTGTATGAAGAGTTTTGCCGTTCGGATTTAATATCGGATAGACTCACAAGGCTTACGTCGTCAAAAGTAAACCAAATAATGTTTTTGAATAATAATAATAATATAATAAAAATAATGTAACTGAAAAAAAATTTAAATAATTGTAGATAACTAAAACTTTGACCATTGTTTAAATAATGTAAAAATGCAATCAAAATGTACATAACATCCATAAACTTCTAACCACGCTTGAATGAGTTATATTTATTAAAATATTTGAAAATATGAGTAAATAATTATAACAGATACAATAATTACACAGCTTAACGTACATTCAGACAGTCCTAAGCCTGTAAAAAGTAGGAAGGGAAGTTCATTAAACTTAACATACATATTTTAAATGATTCTCTTTTAAAACATGAAACACTCAAATGATGCTAATACAACTTAAAAATATTTTTTTTTTGTCTTCATATAATACTTATAATCGTTAAATATTTATAATCGTTATAACAACATACAAAAAAATGCTAACACAGCCAACAACTGAACTGAACTAACCGTGTGTACAATGTAATATTTGAAACTGTTATAATATATTATAACAGTTTAAAACAACAGTTAGAAAAATATATTACAACAACATAACGAATTAGAAAAATATAACAGTTTCGCCCACCTTTAACGCGAACGGACTATAATCATCAACACGTTATCAGCCATATTAGAATCCGACGTGACGTCACTGGTTAAGTAATAAACTTGCTAATGCGCTGTGTGTTATTTCGAATTTTTTTGTTATCATTACGATTGTTGAGTTTTATTCGGAATTTTATTGAAAAGACATGATGGAAGACGGATTCGTAAAAGCAAAAAGTCATCTATGGCAAAAAGTACTAATCTACTAAGAATAAATACATTAATGGTGGCAAAAAATTTTGCACGCAGTTCAGATTTTTGTTCTGACGAGTTGAGGCATGTTAAAACATAAATGTAATGTGCTTTCAATTACCAACTTTTGTTTATACAATAACACAATACCAGGTCAGTGTGTATTTGGATAATACATAGTTATGTATATCTATGATTACCATCATCAATAATCATTAGTTCTCATATATAAGATAACCTAATCTATTAAAAAATTTGACTTGGAATACTCATCGCCTCATGACGTTTTGTTTTGTAAAAACGATAGTTAAATATAACTCATACTTACATAAAAGTGATCTTCACAAAAGTATAGTGTTGTTTTTGTAAACAAGTCTTTTATTTAAATCAGTTGGCACTTGAACCCACAACTTCCCCGGCGTTCTAATGCTCGTATTTTTGCATTCAAGCACAATAAACCAATTATAAAGATAATACATCATTACTTAAACATCCAAAATTATCTCATTCCTTTGCAAAATCGGCAAAAAATCCTAGGGCAGTGACGTCAAGAGTTTTGCAACATGGCGGCTAGTGTTATCGCGTGAAAATTTAAAACGATAAATTAAAAGTAATTTTTATGGCACTATTGGGTTTTAAAAAATTTATTTAAAAATCATAGTGGTTCATTATCACTCGAGTCATTTAAAACACTATTTGAAAAAGGGTGTAAAACAGTATCAAGGGTAATGGCGAAAGAAAAGAATAGCACGAAAGAGTTGACTCGACTTGGGAAGGACCACGCTCTCACAGAATACCAGCGTAAAATAGTAGCTTAATACTGCTGTGTTTCGTATGGTGAGTGTAGAGAACCGGAGACCCTTTTTCCTGGAAACGAGGCATTCCATTTTAGTCCTCACGGGTGACAACGCATGTGCATTTTGATTTGTAATCGAGGATAGACGTAGATATCTATGGGCCGCAGCAACCAATTACCATCAGGTGGACTCTGTGCTCGTTTGTCACCCTATCCTATAAAAAAAGAAGTTCAAATGTTTTTTTCCTTTATATTAATTTTTAGCAGTAGCTTCTTTATGCAACGGGAAAATAAAAATCTGCTTTTGCCAACCCTCCTGCCAAGCGCGACAATCACGTATTCTACGGTAAATTTCGATGTGAAACCATTGAGGTTAATCTACGGGGAGGACTATGTTCAGCTACTATGGACCTCTTACACTTTAAGGGGGATTTGCCTAATTCGTCACGCTTCGCTTAAGGATTCACGATCGCATTACTAAAACGTCGGGACGAAATTAGGTAATGCGTTTTCTTACACCGCCACAACATGAAGAGTTTTTTTTTTATTATAATTTATTCGGATTGAAAAATATATCATAAAAATAAAACTTAAATAAATATTTATATAAATGAGAACAGTGTCACCCCAATAACTTATTAAGTAATGGCGTTAATTGACTGCTCGTTCGCGTAAGCTTACTTTGCATGGCCACGGGTTCGATTTCTTGTTTGATGTTTGTGCATATGTATATATCAAAATAATTTTCTTCTTTAAAGTATATACCACAGATGATACTAATTTATATACTAGGCTTATGTGTGATAACAAAAAAGTATCTCAACAGCAAAATAATAACTTTCTATTTATATAACAACATGTTTTTGTCGAAACTATACTTCAATATTAACTATTTATATATAGACCATAGTTACCTTCATCCATGGTAGGTGGCATTAACTGGTAAGATGGTTTTGCCGCTCCTTTGTTGAACACTTTAACGAATTTAGGAAACAGTGTCTTCACATGTAACCTAAAATGGAATAAAAAAATAATTAAAATAAAAAGGAGAAAGTAAGTCGACCAATTTTCGGCAAATAAGATGACTTCAATCATGCATTTGATACTTATTTGTTTCGATCTTTTGAAGTTAATTAAATCGCCATTAGTTAATTGCATAGTGAAATCGTCTGCCGATATACGTTTCAATCCCGGGGACAGGACTCCTCTCATTACCCCGGGTTCATATTCGAAGTTGTTCCAAAGTCAGTTATTGGATTTTCTGTCAAGAAATTATCAGTAATAGCCCAGAGTCAATAAGTCATCGGTGATTTACCCATCGTGACCAGATCTTAGTCTAGATCTGGAGGATTATTGACTTAACATCCAGTTAAGCTTAAAATGCCTTCATTGGAAGTGGTTTACGACAGTAGTAAAATGACGGTTTCGAACCCACACTTTTGGTTTCACAGTCCGTACGCTTACTTATTAGGCTATTTTCGTTTCAATCACAAAATTTATATAGATTTTATGCCTCAGAAGTCTTACTACAGAAGTTTTCATAACTATGAGATTGATACAATCATAATAAGTACCCACATAATATCATTTGAATTTGATAATTTTAGCGATATCATATAATTTGGTCGATTATTCGTTTTAAATTAGATTTTTAGTATTTAACATATTACATACATAAGATGTCGGAGACATTAAAAAATATTCCGAAGACATGTGAAGTTTTCCAACAGGCAATGGGGTACCACGGCGGATATTTACTTGTCCTACCCTTTTAGGAATGAGGCATTGACCGAGAGACGTACATAGGCTTAATTTTAAGATGATTTGATTTGTAGGAATTCATTACACTATAATCTATATAAAAACAGTTTAATTGAGTGTCAATTAACCAATTGATGCTTAATATACTTTTAATAGAAATTTTAAGACTACATATAACATATTATTATACATTAGTACGAACCAAGTGTCGGGTGCGGAAGTGCCGGCCAGAAGTTTGAGGAGTGTCTCACGTTCAGGATTGGGTTTGTCGTCTATGAAGGCTTTCATTTCCACTTCGCGATGGTCTTCCATTGTGGGTGGATTCTGAGCGTTGTTACTGGGGTGCGTGATCACGTAAGTGAACTTGACAGTCAACGAAGCGTCTAAAAAGTAAGTTGTAAGTAAAGTTGTGTAAGGTTTTAATTATAATAACAATAAACTTCTACCATTGAAAATTTATATGAAAAAATCTCCATAGAGTTAAGAATGTTCTTGTTATGCATCCCATATACGAGTATTGTTTATGTTTTGTTGGAATAATTACCTGAAACGAGATGGATAGCAGTATTTTTTTGATAATAATAACTCAAAAAAATAAAAACCTGTAGTTTGCAGTTCTTGTGTTGTTAATTGTAAACATGATTGTTAGCTAGTATTGAAAAAAAAATAGTCCCACTGGGTTTCTTGCCGGTTCTTTCCAGGACAGAGGTTTTTTTTGCGAACCAGTGGTAAATGAAAAAAAGTGACTTTCAATAAGTAGCCAACCAGTTTGCCAAGCGTCGTAAATAATTACCCAAGGAAGTAAATTATGGGGAAGAGCCATTCAACAGTGGACACTGATAGCCTGTAACATTGATGAGTAAGAATTAAATAAATAAACTTAATAAGCTTCTGTATGCAATATTATTATGGTGCTGAAAAACGGCAAGAGTTTAGCTGTGGTAGCATGGAACATTGAGCATACCCATGTTTTGAGTTGTGTATCGCCAGCAATGCAGTGATGAATTTGCATTTAAAAAAGCCAAAATTAAGGGCTTTTAGAATCTAATTAGGTGCCAATTATATCATATATCTGTAATAGTCACTGCGTTGCCAGCGATACGTTTTGCCAGCAACGCAAATTTCAACAGTTCGTGTTGGTGAAAATTTTAGAGCACCTAATTTTTAAACTTTGCAATCAACTACTACTAGAGATTTTTCTGGACCGATACGACTTAGGGACCTTAAAGAAAAAGCCTATTCCCTTTTAAAAGGCCGGCAACGCCTCTGGTGTTGCAGCTGTTCATGGGCGGCGGTAATCACTTACCATCAAGTGAGCCGTATGCTCGTTTGCCCCCTCTCCTTTAAAAAAAGCAAATTCTTGACTGAGTTGCTGGCGAGATGGAGCTCATGTTTAGACCGATGGTTTTTATTATTTTCCTAATTAAAATAAAAAAAGTATGTGAATCCAAAAAGTACGGATATATGGAATGATAATGACACTGTAGCGGCACGGTTTTTGTGCCACTATAGCGTAAAACTAACCGAAGCCCAAAATCACGCTATTGCAATTTCCTAATGACGATGTATATAATAATGTTGCGCGCCTAAGTTGACGTTATGTAGTGTCAGGGTCGAGAGCGGGGGGAGCTTTCCAGAAAATGACATCACTAATCTTTCAACCGACAGCGCCATCTGGTGTCGAAACGAAGAACTAAGCTTCTAGAAGCCGACACTCGAACTTTCGACGCCTTGCGCGTATTTACTTGAATGTTCTGGATGTTTCGGTGCTAATGTGTATTTATAGGCGCTGCAAGGTGCGATCGGGGGAAGTATTGAATTTGGCGAGACAAGCGAAGCTTCGGAGCGAAATAAAGTGAATCAGTGTGATTAATTATTAGTGTTTTAAGTTTAATTAGTGTAAAGTGAATTAAAGAGTTAATTTTAGGAATACTATCGGCAATTTTTATTGTCACGAACCCTAAGCTCGTAACAATTGGTGTCAGAAGTGGGATAAAATCATGCCGATTTTACCTAAGGAGGAAACGGAGGGTGTCCGTACCCGAAGTCAACGCCAACAGGAGACGGACCAAAGAAGATTTGGTGGTGCAACGCCGCAGACGTCGGAGGGCCAGCCGCCGACAGCAAGCCCGTCAGTAGCTCCTACATCAGAGCACCTGACTTAGGTGCTCTGATGGTGATGCTGCAGGAGCAGGCTCGCCAACAGGAGGAGCAGGCCCGTTGGTTGAAAGAGCAGCAGGAGGAACAGGCTCGCCGACAGGAGGAGCAGTCCCGTTGGTTGAAAGAGCAGCAGGAGGAACAGGCTCGCCGACAGGAGGAACAGGCTCGCCGACAGGAGGAGCAGGCCCGTTGGTTGAAAGAGCAGCAGGAGGAACAGGCTCGCCGACAGGAGGAACAGGCTTGCCGACAGGAGGAGCAGACCCGTTGGTTGAAAGAGCAGCAGGAGGAACAGGCTCGCCGACAGGAGGAACAGGCTCGCCGACAGGAGGAGCAGGCCCGTTGGTTGAAAGAGCAGCAGGAGGAACAGGCTCGCCGACAGGATGAACAGGCTCGCCGACAGGAGGAACAGGCCCGCCGACAGGAGGAACAGGCCCGTCGGTTTCATGAGCAGCTCAAGCGCGATAAGGAAGAGCAGATGCTCCTCATGAAGGACATTCACGCTACCTTCGGGAAAGAGATAAGGGAGGTGAAGGATAAGGTTGCTCAACATGACAACCGCCTGTCGGAAGCTGAAACCCGAATCGACCAAGTGAACAATCGGGTTGACAACGTAATGGCTGACATGAAGAAATCACTGGACGAACTCAAACTTGGGGATGGAACTACAGCTCCCGTAGTAGCTACTACACCTTCGCTACGTGGGTTCAAGGTGCCACCGTTCGACGGGACTTCTTCCACGTCAGCCTACAAAATCCAGTTCGAGGCTGTTATGAAGGCGAACGGCTGGAATAAAAGTCAGGCCATGACTGCTCTCACACTAGGCCTGCGCGACTAGGCCTTAACAGTTCTGGAAGCTCTCGGTGAGGAAGTGACTTATGAGCAACTCCTCGAGGCATTGGAGGCGAGATGTGGTGACGCTCACCTGGAACACGTCTTTCGTGCGCAGCTTAAAGATTGCGTGCAGCGCATCAACGAAAACCTGCAGCAGTGGGCTCTAGAGGTAGAGAAGCTGGTGCGAAAAGCATACCGGTCTGTACCTGCGCTCATTGAAGTGAACCTGGTGCAGACATTCATCGACGGCATCCGCGACCTGGAAGTCAGAGCTGCTGTGTGGCTCGGGCACCACGAGACGCTTAAGGACGCCTTGGCCCATGCACTGGAGGTGGAAGCCGTGCGGCAGGATCATCGTTCCCATCGCGTCAGGGAGGTTGTAGCAGCTACAGTTCGCGACCGCAACAAAGGATACAGCCCTAGGTGCTATGGCTGTGGGGAAAAGGGCCATCTTCGATCCAGCTGCCCTAAGCGAACTGTAGAAAGGGAAGTCGATCTCGGGAGGGTAGTGCGGCCAACAGCACCGCCCAGCAGCAGCAGGGAAACGAGTAAAAGCCAGAACTGCGGGGCGGGTGCTGGCTGATGTTAAAAGAGCCCCAAGGATCTCGATCTCACAAATCCATGATGGGAACAGTCTGATCATCAAAGGTGAGGTCAACGGAATGGAACGGAAAACTCAGAGTGTACGGTTGTCAGTTCCCAACTTATAAGTCAGTTCCTTGGGGACTCCGCATACAACCGAGAACGCATTAATTTGGTCACAGCCACTGGTCAGCGTGTATACCCGCCCGTGGAGAGAAGGAGATGGAGTTGAAGCTAGGCAACGTGATCTACCTGCGTAATGTCGTCGTGGCTGATATAATGGGACGACTGCATCCTGGGCCTAGACTTTATGAGGAATAACTGTTGTGAGATCGATGTTAAGCAAGATGTTTTGAAATGTGGACAAGAGGAACTTTTTATGGAAGGTGCGTTACCAGGGAACGTGTACAGCATTAAGAAGATTGTTCTTCCCCCGAAACGTGGGGCAAGCTCACCGTTGTGTACTTGTGGAAAGGGTAAACAATGACCTTCCTAAGAAGAAAAACTTGGTCAGAACCACTGACATATCAGGAGTACGTGTGCTGAACCTTTGTGACCGGGAACAGATTATAGAAAAAGGCACGCTGGTTGGTACTTGTGAGGAAGTGGATTGGTTACATCGGTGCCAATATCTATCGAATGAGACACCCAGCAAGGATGCACAAACGAGAGTGACCACACTTTTGGAAGACTATCGCAGCTTTCTCTCCCCGACCGAAATGGTCAAGGCGAAGAAGTTGTTACTCACGTACGCCGATGTATTCTCATCAAACGATGCTGACATAGGAAAGACTGGCTTAGTTCAACACAAAATAAACACAGGAGAAGAATTGCCTATCCGTCAGCGGCCAAGAAGATTGCCGGTAGCACGTGAAAAGGAAGTGGAAACCATGATTGAAGGAATGGTGAAGGATGGTGTTATTGAACCTTCCTCTAGTCCGAGGTGTTCACCAGTGGTGCTGGTAAAGAAGAAGGATGGCAGCATGCGGTTTTGTGTTGAATACCGCCGTCTGAACGACGTTACGAAGAAGGACAGCTATCCCTTGCCAAGAATTGATGACACGCTGGACATGCTTTTAGGAGTAAAGTGGTTTAGCACGCTGGATCTAAAAAGTGGCTACTGGCAAGTTGAAATTGACCCTAAGGACAAGGAGAAAACTGCGTTCTCGACGGGAAAGGGTCTGTGGCAATTTGAAGTAATGCCGTTTGGGTTGTGCAATGCTCCAGCAACGTTTGAAAGGCTGATGGAACCTGTACTTACCGGGCTAATTGGCGATGCCTGTCTGGTCTACTTGGATGACATCATCATGGTAGGCCGTACGTTTGAGGAACACCTTCAAAACCTGGAACGCGTGCTCATGAAGATTCAGAGTGCCAACCTCAAGTTGAGTCCGAAGAAATGTTCACTATTCAAACGGCAAGTTAACTTTTTGGGGTATGTAGTATCGGAAGAAGGTATCCGCACGGATCCAGAGAAAATCGCCGCTGTCAAGGATTGGCCGGTCCCAAAAGACAAGACGCAGGTTAGAGCATTTTTGGGTTTGCGCTCCTATTACCGGCGATTTGTGAAGAACTTTGCAGATATAGCCAAACCTCTGCATAAGCTAACCGAGGAGAAGCGACATTTCTGCTGGGATGAAAGTTGCAATATCGCATTCCAGGAGCTCAAGGACCGTCTGTGCAAAACACCTATTTTGGGATACCCTGATGCAAGCAAAGAATTTATAGTTGACACAGACGCAAGTGATATAGGACTTGGCGGTGTGTTGTCTCAACGGAATGGTGACCAAGAGGTCGTGATAGCGTACTT